ATTTTTAGTAGAGACGGGGTTTCACCATGTTGACCAGGATGGTCTCGATCTCTTGACCTCGTGATCCACCCGCCTCGGCCTCCCAAAGTGCTGGGATTACAGGCTTGAGCCACCACGCCCGGCCCTGTGAAATTTTTTAAAGCATTATCAGCTGCACTAATAAGATGTTATTTTTGGCCAGGCGTGGTGGCTCACACCTGTAATCCAAGCACTTTGGAGGCCAAGGAGGGCGGATCACCTGAGGTCGGGAGTTCAAGACCAACATGGTGAAACCCCATCAAAAAAAAGAAAAAGATGTTATTTTCATGTCTCAAAATTTTTGGCCGGGTGCGGTGGCTCAACCCTGTAATCTCAGCACTTTGGGAGGCTAAGGTGGATGGATCACCTGAGGTTAGGAGTTCCAGACCAGCCTGGACCACAAGGTGAAACCTCTTCTCCACTGAAAATACAAAAACTAGCTAGGCATGGTGGTGTGGGTCTGTAATCCCTGCTACTCGGGAGGCTGAGGCGGGAGAATTGCTTGAACCCAGGAGGTGGAGGCTGCAGTGAGCCAAGATTGTGCCATTGCACTACAGCCTGGGTGACAGAGGAGACTCCGTCTCAAAAAATAATAATATATATTTTTTTTTGCTGAGTACTTAAAGTTGACTTTTCCTCGGATAAATATGCATATGATGCAAATGCACTGTATTTAGATATCTAATTCAGATGTCTCCAGCCCCCCGGGCCACAGAACAGTATAGGTCCACTGACTAGGTGGCACAGCAGTAGGTCAGCAGCAGGCGAGCATTAGCGCCTGAGCTCCAGCCTCTGTTGGATAGCAGTCACATTAGAGTCTCACAGGAGCACAAACCCTATTGTGAACTGCGCACGTAAGAGATCTAGTTTGTGGGCTCCTTATGAGAGTCTAATGCCTGATGACCTGAAGTGGAACAGTTTCATCCCGAAACCATCCCCCACCACACCCTCATGGTCTGTGGGAAAATAGTCTTCCACAAAACCGGTCCCTGGTTCAGGAAAGGTTGGGGACCACTGACCTAATTGCTGTCCTTTTTGGGAGTGGATTATTAGATAATATGCAAACTCTTAGAAGCTAGGCCAAATTTTTATTTGAGCCAGTAAGTCCCTATCATCCTGATCAAAGTTAGTCACTGATTTTATTTTGAGTATGAGAATTTTCCAGCAATATTAATTATAATAGTGATTTAAACTCCTTAAAATGAATCATGTTTTATATCCTCATAAGTATAGTTTTTTCCTTCCCGTTTTTGGTCTTCTCTCAGAAAGTAACCCTGAAGTCACCACTGTATTCTTTTGTTTTTTGAGACAGAGTCTTGCTCTGTCTTCCGGTGCCAGGTGCCAGGCTGGAGTGCAGTGGCATGATCTCAGCTTACGGTAACCTCCGCCTCCTGGGTTCAAGCAATTCTCCTGCCTCGGCCTCCCAAGTAGCTGGGACTACAGGTGTGCGCCACCACGGCCAGCTAATTTTTATATTTTTTTTAGTAGAGACGGGGTTTCACCATGATCAACTGTACTCTTAATCTCTTCATAGATTGTAGTTGCTCTTCCTTTTTTCTCACCTTTTCTTATATTGTATATTTGTTACAGAAGAGTTTTCTTCAAAAATGGATGGGGTGTCTTCAGAGGCTGGTGAAGAAAAGTAAGTTCATTTAATGCAGTTAAAAATGTTATATTCTATCAGAGAAAGATATTTTTTTTAACTAGTAAGACCTGTCCATAACTTCCGAGATCTTTTTCCATTGTGTTGCAAGAAAAAGAAGTAGATGTCCATCCTGGTCAGCATGGTGAAATCCCATCTCTACTAAAAATACAAAAATTAGCTGCATGTGGTGGCACAAGGGAGACTGAGGCAGGAGCATCCCTTGAACCCGAGAGATGGAGGTTGCAGTAAGCCAAGATCGTGCCACTGCACTCCAGCCTGGCAATAGAGACTCCCTCTCAAAAAAAAAAAAAAATAAGAAGTAGATGTTACAGACTCATAGCTCCCCTTGCCATTGCCGTATCTTTATATAGACTCATCTACTCTGAGCACGGTGGATTACACCTGTAATCCCAGCACTTTGAGAGGTTTAGGTGGGAGGATATCTTAAGCCCAGTAATTTGAGACCTGCCTGGGCAACATAGTAAGATGGGCAACCTCTACCCCATCTCTACAAAAAAACAAAAAAAAATTTTTTAAACCCCCACTCCCCCCAAAAAATAAAATTTTATAAATGGAGCGCTTTTGGCTTTACCAGCCAGGGAGGGTGTTTGGCTTTACCCAGGAAAGAATTAATGGGCCAGCAAGTGGTGCTATACAGTACTTTTATTGAAGTGTTAGTATAAAGCAGCAGCACAGGTAAAGCTCCTTGCGGAGCAGGGCTACCCTATACGTAGTGCTCAGAGGCAGTTCTGTACTCATTTACACCCACTTTTAACGATATGCAAATTAAGGGGTGTTTTATGCAGAAATTTTTACAATGAGGGTGGTAACTTCCAGGTTGTCAGGTCATTGCCATGGAAAGGGCAGGTGACTGCTGGGCAGGTTTTTGCTGTAGCAGTGGTAGACTGACAAGACACACTGGTGGGCGTGTCTTGTGGGGAGGCGCTTCTGCCCCGGACCTGTTTAGCTAGTCTTCAATTTGGTCCTGTGTCCTAGCCCCACCTTGAAGTCAAGTTCTGACTCCTACCTCAAGAGTCTGTCTCAAAAATCATCATCATCATCTCATCTAGAGTCAAATCTGAGAGGGACTTTAGATACTACCTCCCATCTCTTCATGTAAGGATGAGAAAATTGAAGACCAGGAAGATAAAATGATTTGTCTAAAATTGCCATTACAATCTGATGGCTTGTTTGCAGTTTGCAGTCATAAGTTGTTGGCTTACACATAGCATTTTTTGGTCATTGTTTTTTAAGAGACTGTGTCTTGCCCAAGCTAGATTTGGACTCCTGGGCTCAAGTGATTCTCCTGCCACAGCCTCCTGAATAGCTGGAACTATAGTTGTGGGCAACCGTGGCTGGATTTGGCCTACACATGTTTTTTAATTTGGATTAGTTGCCAAAATTTCAAAATCTTAAAATTTTGTACAACAGTTGGGTTTTCAGCTTCTCTTGAAAAATCAAGTGTGGCATCATTGGACTCCTATTATTGTTTGGCAGCAACTAACCACAGCAGAGCAATGACTAACCTTTAGGTGAGACAGGAATTCTCTAGGTCATTATAATCTCACACTACCTATTTTTCTTACTCCTAAAAAATTACCTGTTTGTTAGCCTCATAGGCATTTGAATTTTCAAAACCTGGTCTAAAAATCATATAGTAGTAAAACCAAAACTAGAGCCTATTTATCTTATTATTATACCTCTATACATATGGTAAATTATGTTGTACTGATTATTATTCAGGAGATAGTCTTGTAGTACATAATATGTATTTTAAAACACTGAATTCCTAACTGATTTTAAAGTTTTGTAATATAAATTTTGCTTGCCTGAGTGGGAATCTCTCTCTCAGTGAAAGTGGTGACCAGTTTGAAAGCATGTAAGGGGTGCTGTGATGATGGCTTTGGGAATTCAGTTTTTTATCAATGTATGTTTAAGTTGTTTTTTCCTTTTTCAGTGACAATATAGAGAGACCTGTTAGAAGACAGCATTCTTCAGTAAGACTTACTTGAATTAATAATTATCAGTTTTTATTTAATAACTATATATCATGGTAGTTTTGACTGTGGCTTCACCATCCTACCCTCAGTGGCTTCCTGTTGCTCTCTGGATAAAGACTTAAATATTTAACATGGTTATACAATTCTGTAAACATACTAAAATTCATACTTTATGAATTTTTTTAGTAATTTTATGAATTTTATAGTCTATGTTATACTTCCAATAAAGCTGTTTAAAATATATGTTTAACTTGTACAAAGCTGTTGTAACAGACAAAAATCCAACCCAAACTGCTTTTGTTTTTTGAGACAGTTTCACTCTGTCGCCCATACTGGAGTGCAGTGGCACAGTCTCGGCACACTGTAACCTCCACCTCCTGGGTTCAAGTGATTCTTGTGTTTCAGCCACCCAAGTAGTTGGAATTACAAGCATGCACCACCACACATGGCTAATTTTTGTATTTTTAGAAGATACGGGGTTTCGCACTGTTGCCCAGGCTGTTCTCAAACTCCTGGCCTCAAGTGATCCTCCCACCTCAGCCTCCCAAAGTGCTGGGATTACAGGTGTGAGCCACTGTGCCCTGCCCAAACTGCTTTAAGCACAAGATGTATTGGGTTATGAGACTAAAAAATCCAAAGAAGGGATGGCTTTAGGCACAACTTACTGGCCCGCAGTTCCAACAATGACAACAGTACTAGGATTTCCTTTGTCTTTTTCTACTCTTAGTGCTTTCTCTGGGTAATCTTCAGCAGATAGATTCTTTTCCCGTGATTACTGTGGTACGTTTAGCTCTCTTACTTCCAGGCTCAAGTCCTATGTGAAAAATAGTGAGTTATCTTTCCGCATACAGAAACGACTTGGAACTGAATCATGTTAGCTTGATTATCTTGATGTGGGTCAAGTCCTCATTCTTGAACCAATCATCATTGACAAGAGAATATCAGATTGTTCTAGATAGGGCTATGTGTTTTACCCTAGAGTTGGTGTGGAGTTCACTCAGACCACATGGGATGAGAATGGGTAAAATAATAGGGGCGGATGGCCAGGTAGAAGGGAATAGATGTCTATTACTTAAATCTGCCACACAGCATAACATTGAGCAGAATGAATTTGAGGAGTTTCAGAGGTTTTTATGAAAATTTTGGCTTTCTATCTATAACTTGAAATAAACTGATTCTTAATGCATATGCCAGATTTTTTTTGAATAATTCTAATTGTTTACCTAGATTTTGAAACCCCCAAGAAGTCCTCTTCAGGACCTCAGAGGTGGGAATGAAGCAGTTCAGGTAAGTCTGTAGTGCAAATATTTGATAGATGACTATTTTCAGTGATGACTTGTAAGTCAGGAACTTTATTAGCTATATGAAGAGGCAATATCATAAATGATTACAAGTTGAATGTGTAAGCATCCCATGGCTTTTAGGTTAAAATCCAAACACTTGAATATACTGGCATTCATTATTTTTCTTTTTTCTTTTTTTTTTCCCTAGAAATGGTATCTCCCTCTGTTACCCAGGTTGGAGTGCAATGGCACGATCATAACTCCCTGCAGCCCTGAATTCCTGGGCTCAACCAATCTTCCCCGCATCAGCCTCCTGAGTGGCTGGGACTACGGCGAATGCTACCATACCTGGCTATTTATTTATTTATTTATTTAGAGACGGGGTCTCACTCTGTTGCCCAGACTGTAGTGCAATGGTGTGATCATGGCTTACTGAAACCTCCTCCTCCTGTGTTCTCAAGAGATCCTCCCACCTCAACCTCCTGAGTGGCTGGAACTACAGGAATGTGCCACCATGCTTGGCTAATTTTTGTATTTTTTGTGGAGACGGGGTTTTGCCATGTTGTCCATGCTCATCTTGAACTCCTGGGCTCAAGCAATCCACCTACCTTGGTCTTCCAAAGTGTTGGGATTACAGGTGTCAGCCACTGTGCCCAACCCTTTAAAACAGTTTTATTTTTTTTAGTACAGACAGGGTCTTGCTATGTTGACCAGGCTGGTTTTGAACTTCTGGGCTCAAATGATCCTTCCTAGGCCTCCCGAAGTATGGGTATTACAGGCATGAGCCACTGTGCCGAGCCTTTCTTTTTTCATGTCAGATGTATGATATGCCAACATTGTAACAAAATTTGAGGAAAGCACATCTCACACATGTATGTGAAAACCCTATAATCACACTATGAACTATGAGAAGATCAGTTTTCTTTTTTTTAGTAAGAAATATATTATTCTCTGTTAGTCCCAGTGTTTTTCCCATGTCAGTATTATAATTGTCATGTTAAGCTTAAGGCTACTACCTGTAGTGTCTTCTGGGGCCTTAACCAGGTACACTGCTTTGATGCAGAGGTGATACCATTCCCGATTCTTTTTTTTTTTTTTTTTTTACTTTTTGCTTGAAAACTTT